TTGTTCTTTTTAAAATACGACGCTGGGCGTATTGTGAGACTAAATAGTTGGTACGATTTTTATAATTAAGCCATCACATGTTCCGATGGGATGATTAGGATAACTTTATAGAATGGAATCGAGAATTAAACCTTATAATGTTGGTATCTTTGGGTCAGTAACAACTATTTTTTTTTATTGCCTTGATGTGTGGACGAGCTCACAGCCCACCTGGTGTTAAGTGGTTACTGGAACCCATAGACATTTACAACGTAAATGCGCCACACACCTTGAGATATAAGTTCTAAGATCTCAGTATAGTTACAACGGCTGCCCCACCCTTCAAACCGAAACGCATTACTGCTTCACGGCAGAAATAGGCAGGACGGTGGTACCTACCCGCGCGGACTCAGAAGAGGACCTACCATTAGTAATTACGCAAATTAGAATTTTTGCGGGTTTGATTTTTATTACACGATGTTATTCCTTCACCGTGGAAGTCAATCGTGAACAATTGTTAAGTACGTATTTCATTAGAAAAATTGGTACCCGCCTGCGGGATTCGAACATCGTTGCATCGCTATATAAGAATGCACCGGACGTCTTATCCTTAAGGCCACGACGACTTCAAAGACGACTAAACGACTAAACAATAGATGCGCCGTTTGTTTGAATGCTTAAGCTTAATTAAATAATTAATCTTTCCGTAGTTGTTGCGTGAGGTGGACAGATCGATTTAATATCATATCGATATCGTACCACCAATATAATGATAGACCAGAAAATTCTAAGAAAAATATTCTAAAGCGAAGTAGTGCTAAAGAAAAATCAATAGATATGTAATGTGTAACCATTCAAGTATGTAAACAGCCTTATTTAAAGTGCTTCTTCAGCACTACTGTCTTTTTTTTATTGCTTAGATGGTTGGACGAGCTCACAGCCCACCTGATGTGAAGTGGTTAATGAAGCCCATAGACATCTACAACGTAAACGCGCCACCCACCTTGAGATATAAGTTCTAAGGTCTCAGTATAGTTACAACGGCTGCCCCACCCTTCAAACCGAAACGCATTACTGCTTCACGGCAGAAATAAGCAAGGTGGGGGTACTTACCCGTGCGGACTCACAAGAGGTCCTACCACCAGTGTCTTACTGTCTTTTAACTAAATACACCTTTTTACACAATAAACCGGACCTTCAAACTGAATGGACGTATTATTTCAACTCGTCTAACCCGTCGTGACCAGACCACACCCCAAATAAATAATCTTATATCACTGTTTTGTGTTCATTGAACATTAAAATCATTTCCAGCTTAATCGCTTTGTCTTTTGGAGATCTTTACCACGTTCTTCATCCGTACTAACAAAGTAATGTAAATAATAGGTTTCCTTGAACACTTGCGAAGACCTACCAATAATATTTTTATATTAGTACTGGTGGTAGGACGTCTAGTGATTCCGTACGAGTAGGTACCACCACCTTGCCTATTTTGGTCGTGAAGCAGTAATGCCTTTCGGTTGAAGGGTGGGGCTGCCGTTGTAACTATACTCATATCTCAAGGTGAGTGGCGGCATTTACGTTATAGATGCCTATGGGCTCCGGTAACCACTTAACATCAGGTGGGCTGTGAGCTCGTCCACCTATCTATGCAATATATAAATAAAAAAACACGTGTGGCATTCGGAGACTGCCGCGGTAAAGCTATTGCATAGCATTTTTTATCAACTTATACAATTATAAATCGACAATAATAATTTAATATTAAAACAACAATAAAATAAGACCACGCTATATTTAAAAACATGAACAAAAGCAAAACACTAACTGTCCCCTTCACACTCATAACCTAGACCGCGCGAGGGAGAGATGAGCAGACTTTTCATGATGTGCATGCGGCAGTGCGACGTCACGCCGCGCGCTTATTCACAAACACTACACAAGCGCAACGTGTGAATGTGTTGAACGCGAGCTACATAGGAGGCGTAGTGGAGGTGTCAGGTTATTTTCGTTACGGAATTTCTTGATTCAGTCGCCACGCCCAAGGCCCGCGATAGAAGCTATGCAATAGCTTAAAATGTAATTAATATTTTATTTTGGTTAAAAGAATTCGTTTCCAATTCAAATTATTTCGAACTTTCGCAGTTAAATCTCGATATCAGAATAAATTCTGACGTTCGACTTATCGTCATGCTTAGAATTCAAATCGCGAGCGAGCCTCCGATCCGGGCAAAATTATCGAAACTATTGATCTAGCCGCGTTCGTTTTGAATAACCACTTAAAGTCGAATGTGTGACGTAAACTAGAATACTTTTACTGCTTTACATTTTAATACGCTTTTATTAGCTTCAGACGTATGTATGTTTGTAACGGAATCTTTGAACATGATTTTGACCCCCTTCAAAACGTCGGATTAACTCGAAATTTGGCATACTTATAAAAGACTGATGACAATTCATTATTAAAAAAATTTGTAAAAATTGAAATTCAACTAAAAAATGAAAAATAAATAATATAATAAAAAAAAAAGCGTGGGGTGCTTTTCAGGATATTATCAAAATAACCCTTCTACTCATATCTGTTCATAAAATATTTATAACTGCTGATACCAGGAACCCCACGGTTTTTTTACAACAAAAAATTTTTTTCTTACACTATTTTTAATTCAAATTTATTAAGCTTTTTTCTAATAAAAATTTATTTGTCACGAAATGTACGTGAAGCATCAAAGTTATGAAAAACATGGAATAGTAGTGGAGGGAAACAAAGAAAATCTTATTTAAAAGAAATAAAAAACTGCTGTATACAAGAACGCGTTAAGTAAATTAATGAAAGGCACACGAAGTACACAGCTCACACAGAGAATTTCATAGATATATCCCAATGAGCTTCTCGCCGGATCTTCTCAGTGGGTCGCGATTCCGATCCGGTGTTAGATTCAGCGAAGCACTGCTCTTGCTAGTGTTAGTGTAAGCAATGTTGTCAGGCTTGAGCCCCGTGACCTCACCTACTTGTCAGGCTACGCTGACATAGCCTCTCAAGGCTATAAGCTTAGGTAGGGACCCAAAAAAAACAGCTCGTAACAACACTATGAGATAGCTATTGCCCATCCTTGGGTGAATCTCTTTTAGGACATCCACAGAATGAAACAGATGAGTGCAATTTTAAGTCACCCTCCCCCCCACAACACATTTTTTCACAATACCAAAATAAAATTTCCCTATAACTCAGTAATTAAAGTTCTAAAGCGCATATCAGTGTGTACGGGCCCTAAGCTAGTTAGTGCTCACGTCCTCTTTAATGATGTCACGTGCCCGGTTGGACATTCAAAGACCCAAACTTATGAACGATCATCTCGACCATTCGGCTCCCTCTGAAAATTTACTGCACGAATTTATTTGAAAAATATCGCTCATGTACCTACGTAACAACGTGTTTAGGATGTTTATATGGTGATTGTGAAACAAACATGCCACGAAACATTGTATATTGTAAAATTATAGAGCTTAGACCGAATTCAGGTGTGTTTTTTTAATTTATATACTGGTGCTTGCGATATGATTTCTAAGATCTCAGTATAGTTACAACGGCTGCCCCACCCTTCAAACCGAAACGCATTACTGCTTCACGGCAGAAATAGGTAGGGTGGCGGTACCTACCCGTGCGGACTCACAAGAGGTCCCACCACCAGTAATATGCATAGTGTATTAAACTTATGACCCAAGGTACTATGAACTGTTACGCGTCGATCTTTGCTGGAACTGTAAATCCAAGCTATGTTCATGTACGTAATGTTATCTTTATCATTGTTTCCTTGCATAAGCGCATTCTAATACGCTAAGTTTCAAAATAACTTTGAATTATCAAGCGACTCCCTTCGTATAATTCATCATTCTGTAATTGTATTTCGGTATGATGAATGATTCTCTCAGAAGTCTAGAAACGTTTTTCAACCTAGATCTCATTTACGGAGCTGAAATTGTTTGAGCTTTGAAAAGCTTTCGCACTTTTGTTCATTAATATGAATGTTTTGAAATTAATATTTAAATTGAACTAACTCGTATCTAATGGTTAAGACGAAGTGATTTTACTATAATATGATATAAAATAGATGTCAGAGGAAGTGTGAAAGTAGACCCGGTGATTGACAAATTAAAGACGGTTAGCGTGGTATGGTCATGTGATGCGTAGAGAGGAAATGCATGTGACTAGGAGATGTATGGAAATGGTAGTGCAAGATAGAGGTGGAAGAGGTCGACCGAAGAAGACATGGATGGAGTGTGTGAATGACGATGTGAGAGAGAGGGGAGTGTGTGTTCAGATTATGGCTGATAGAAGTGAATAGAAAAATTCGCAGTGCCGACCCCACTTAGTGAAAAAAATAAAAAAAGAACAAAAAAGAAGATAAAACAGATATCTGCCGAGTAGGTACCAATATTCCGCCTTTTCCTGTCACGAAGTACAGTCATACACTCCAGTACCATAGTTTGACCTTATGTGACCTTACGTGAATATTTATTTGGACGGTTCATGCACGTCACAATATTGGCTGAGCCAGTGCTCACATTTTTTTTTTGGCCAGGAGGAAATTGCCGGACTTCCGCCCTCCCCTGGGGATAGAGGGCGGGGCATATCGG